CCCTTGGTTTCATTAATGCGATGCATGCGTTCCATGATGTTGTATTGCACTCATTGATCTACCAGTTATGTTGAATGATTTCTCTTTTAATATCAATTACTCACAAATACTTCATATATTTCAATCATACAAACAACTGCTCATTCAATGTGTGACGGGCGTATTATATACCGCTCGCGGTAACCTTGTTAGCAAAATCATTCAAACCAAGTTTCAGTATCAGAAAGTCATATTACTCTCTGGCCCCAGATGGAATACTTGTAAACTGTGATGAGTGTGCTTATCATTGAGGTGTGACAAAGGTTGATTACCTGTAACTGGTCAATGAGTGAGATTTGATTATCTAGTCTCAGGCTAAAATTCTTTATCTTGGCCTCTGATTGAGAATATCTTGATCTCACTCAATTAAAAATGGAAGATTTCATTAATAAACATTTAGGTGGCTTTGTATTTGTTAATTTATTTCATTGATAAAACTATAAATATATATATTGGAACAAAACCATTTTTGCCACTAGTCTTACCTGAAACACTGTTTCATTTTATCCACATTTTTGTCTTTAAGTACTTCAGAATACAGAATACAGTAACCAGATTTGGTGTACAAGGTCATCTTAGAATGGCAGAGTGCAAGAATCAGGTCACTGTGACCTATGAATTGACCTTTGACCTTTACTTTTGAACGTGTTTGTCCGGGGCATATTTTCTATACTATTTTACCTGGAGTAACCAGATTTGGTGTAAAAGGACATCTACGGATGGCAGAGTGCAAGAATTAGGGCACTGTGACCTATGACTTGACCTTTGAACTCAACTTTTGAAAAATATTTGTGTGGGCATATTTTCTATACTATTTCACCTGTTATAACCAGATTTGGTGTACAAGGACATCTTAGAATGGCAGAGTGCAAGAATCAGGTCACTGTGACCTATAGCTTGAACTTTTTACGCTTGTAATATTCTGCAGATCATATTTTCTTAACTCATTCACCCCTGAAGTTTCATAATGAACTATTCCAACCTTTGAATTGGAAGAGTTCAAATGTGTCGTCAGGGGTGAATGAGTTAATCAAAATATTGACCTGCAAAATTGTTGAAATATCCTGCTATATGGTTTGTTGTCAGGATTTGATTTCAAATTTATCTAGGATTGTACAATAAATAGCACACAAGCATTTGACCAAGATAGCCAGGTATTTGATTCCTTGATCAAACATAAAAAGGGTAATAATTAATGGGGACACTTGCCTGATCATGTGGGTTTCTCAGGATTCTCAAGTCTCCTGTATGAAAATGTCTGACACATCACAAGCTGGGCCAACAACAGTGATCTGTATAAGTTAATAACACTTAATGCATTACTGACGTAAAGCACACAACTGATAACATTTTATTGAGCCAATTGTAACTTTCGACTTTCTGTTTTTGAAGCTTTCCCAAGAGCTGCTCCAAAGCACCTGTCCACCCTGATGCATGCTATCCAACATTCATTGACATTGCTGGCTTTGAAAATACAGACAACGACTTGAACAGAGAATTACTACGAATCGTCTTCTATGGACGTCTACCCGTCGAAGACAGCTTAAAGGTATAATCACAAGGGGAATTAAATAAAACCAGGATAGGTGTTAATTTGGCTCTGTTATTTGTAATTAGGGCCCCGTATCGGAGATACGGGTGCCCTATAGTAATCACTATGTCTGTCTGTCTGTCTGTCCGTCCACAAATTCTGTTCCTGGCTGATTACTTTGGTATTTATTGACCGATAAACATGAAACTTGGTCAAGATGTTCAGTTCACAAAAATACACATTGAGGTAAAAAAAAAAAAA